GTGACACAGACCCCACTTGACAGCAGGCCCCACGTGAAGGTAGGACCCACGTGAAGGTAGGACACACGTGCACGTGACGGTAGCCCCACGTGAAGGTAGACCCCACGTACACGTGACGGTAGCACCACGTGAAGGCAGGCCCCACGTGCACATGACGGTAGCCCCACGTACACGTGACGGTAGCGCCAACTGAAGGCAGGCCCCACGGGCACGTGACGGTAGCCCCACGGGCACGTGACGGTGGCCCCACGTGAAGGCAGACTCTATGTGAGAAGAAATATATAATAAATTGAGAAATTGTGATCAGAGAGAAAAGAATATGTAAACAGAAAGAGAAAGATAAAAGAGAGTAAGCAAAAGATAATAGAAAAATGGAAAGAGCACCGACAAAGAAAGAAAGAAAGAGAGAGAGAGAGAGAGAGAGAGAGAGAGAGAGAGAGAGAGAGAGAGAGAGAGAGAAGAGGATAACGAGCCGGTAGCAGCGTTTGTCCTGACTGAAGTTACCTGTACAATAAGTCGCCCTTGATCATAATTCACCAAATATTTTAGCCTTATACTACATGACCCTCTCTGAATACAACCATTCCATCAAGTAGTCTGGCCACAAGAGTCACCAGCTGTCGAATTTCCTTTACCAACATAAAAGTTTATGAATGCATCAACACTGTATCTCATTCGTCTTTTTTTTTTTGGACTTGATTCCCAAAAGGTGAATAAAAGCTTTCATTCAAAGGCGACTGTGTGTTTACTGTTAAGTCACAAAAGCCTGTATGGACGGGGGCAGCTAAAAAAAATTAAATAGATAAAAAAATCCTTAGAAAATAATAAAATGCTCGATTCTGAAAGGAATATTTAAGAAAGGAAATGTTTTCTTTATAGTGTCACATACTGTTCATATATATCGATTGTTGAGTTGCCCTCCCTAACTCACTCACTCACTCACTCACTCACTCAACTCACTCGCTCACTCGGAAATTCAAGTCAAATAGCCTTTAGAAGCACTGAGGAAAAAGAACGTCATCTACCCCAACAAATTTCATTACCTCAATAGATGTTCCCAGCGAAGCCTTGGCTGTGGGTATGTCTTTCAACACAGGCGAGACACACCCAACGCCCCCCTGAAAGTCATGCTATGCTATGCTATGACTTTAGTGAACGTATAGGAGGAACATGACAGGCTGAGAGTGTGACAGTCAGAGTATGTGTAAAGGTGAAAGAGTAACATTGAGAGTGAAAGATTAAGAAATAGAGAAAGAAAGTGAGAGCTAGAGAAAGAAAGTGAGAGCTAGAGAGAAAAGTGAGAGCCAGAGAAAGAAAGTGAGAGCAAGAGAGAGATAGTGAGAGCAAGAGAAAGAAAGTGAGAGCTAGAGAGAAAAGTGAGAGCAAGAGAAAGAGAGAGCTAGAGAAAGAGAGTGAGGGCAAAAGGGAGATACTGAGAGAAAGTGAGAGCAAGAGAAACAAAGTGAGAGTTAGGGAGAATGAGAGAAAGAAATTTTTTTTTTTTTGTTTTTTTTTTACGGGAATTAGCCCACTCGGGCACAGGTCAAACGACCCACAACGGAGCCTGGGGGGCGAAAAAAAAAAGAACGGAAAGAAATTGAAAATATATTCCCTATAACGTTAGAATGGTCAGGTTAGGTTAGGTTAAAATGCTCAGGTTAAGTTAGATTAGCATAGCATGAGCTTTTGTTTGGAAAGGTTAGTTTAGGTTAGGTTAGGTTTAAGTTAGGTTAGGTTAGGATAGCATTAGCTTATGTTTGGATAGGTTAGTTTAGATTAGGGTCGTTAATCTTCAGGTTATCCATCGTTAATGTTGAATAAATCATTTGAAAGGTCGCCATTGTTGTCTAGTTGACCAATAAACGCGTGGAGATTACGAGGTACAATACATACATCGACCCTCACTCACACCTGACGTCGGATCACACTAACTCGTTTTCCTACCGTTTATTTTCTCCGAGGTCTCTACTGTACCCGTTGAGGCCTCTACTGTACCCGTTGAACCCTCTACTGTACCCGTTGAGGCCTCTACTGTACCCGCTGAGGCCTCTACTGTACCCGTTGAACCCTCTACTGTACCCGTTGAGGCCTCTACTGTACCCGCTGAGGCCTCTACTGTACCCGTTGAACCCTCTACTGTACCCGCGCACACCTAGAATGAAAGAGCAACCCGGGCTTTTTTTTGTTTGGGATTTACAGGACTCCTGTTGCCATCTAGCGGGAGTTACAACTATTGGTGCAACTGGCCTCTTGCTTCTCAATGTTTGGTTAATATATATAGTATATATCTGAGATCAAATATTATATGATAGAATTAGTAATCCCGCACCTTGCTATTTATTTCCTCCTGAAAATCTATAAATGATTATCCCAAGTGACAAAGTATTGATATACGCTTACTATTTGTATACATCCATGTGTCTCGTAGCTCATGCTCGATTGTCATGTGGAAGAGGTGGGTGAATAACTACTTGGGCAAGGTAGTCATTAGAGTTTACATTAACACCCAGTTGCCTTATGACCACCACACACCTCCTTGTCTTGTTCACGTCTTGAGGCTGTAAACACTAATATAAAGCACAAGGTTAAAGAGTGAGTGAAATTTGGGCTGTGAACATATTGTAATGTTTCCCTTGTTGGCAGTTAGGTTGCAGACACTGGCTCTATTCTAGCAGTACTTAACATCCTGAACAATATTCATTTCTCATTTCTAACAGTACTGCAACTTAAAAATAAATCCAGTACTCATATAAGCGGCGAGTATAGTCCTTAAATGTATTGTCACTGTTTCTGGCACTCTTGCAGCGTCGAGCTCTTGTGTGGCATCACTGAGGATCCTAACAGTGCATGCAACAAATCTCTAACTGAGTTCAAAAAGGGCCCATGTCAAAAATGCCAATTTCGACCCTTTTTGCACTCAGCCAAATAAATGACCCTGAAGATTTTAATGCTTATTTTTAGCAGTAATATAAATTCTAGCCTTTGTTTAGCGGTTTTGCAGATGTTAATTTCCCCCGAACGACGCTACTGTAGACGTTGTTGTTACCGTCGATAATGGCCGTGTACTCATAACTAACTCAAGTCATAATATTTCACTGTACAGGTTCACCACAATGAGACATTCAACCATTGCTTCTCCTTTCCTCGCCGCGCCACCAACAGCCTCGAGCAACAACTCACTAAACACTCAGTTACCATAAGAAACAGTATAATGCTTGGGGTTGGACCTAACTTATCATTAACACTTCTTGATATATATACTCTATTATAATGGCGTCTCCTTTATTAACCTTTTATTTGGGTGGAAAGAGGAGTTTATTTACACAATTTTATATTAGAAAAACAATGAAACAATACTGCGACCTTTGAGAATAAATGAGATACTTTGGCCATATTACTAATGATAAAGGGATAATGGCAGAAATATTAGTGGGTGTACTTGAGGGTTGGAGGGACCTGTAGGGTATAGGATAGGTAGAGACTTGAGATGAGTGAATGAAATCAAAACTTGTGGTCCCCGGAGAGACACAAAATATGAGCTGATTGGTTTAGACAGCCCCTTAATTGTTTGTGGTGGAAGGCCGTGGTCGCCAACCCTCAGACATAAGAGTGACGCCTATTGATGTACTCATATTACGTTAGTCATTTACACTACATACAAATATATAAGGCTGGTCACATAATAACACAGTTTCCAGTATTTATGGAGACCTGAAACTCGTTAATATGAATGTTGTAAGTTTTACTGAAGCCAAAGTTACTAAACACAATTTTCAGTGTTTTGTTAATGAATATTTTAGTTTCCTTATAATGACCAGTACTTCAGGCTTGGTGGGGTACCTGGTCTGGGTGTCTCAGGAGATCGAATGACGCTCTTAACACTTTTTTTTACAACAATTTTAAGTTTGGCGACCAACATTTACTGACAGAACTTTAAGATTTATCACTGGAAAAACCGACACTGTTGAAGAGGCAGAGAGGGTATAATATCACTAAAACCTTCGGTATAGCAAGAGACAGTGCGGCCAGCTCTTCATCTGGGTAGCTGTAAGGTGCAGCAACGACCCTCAGGACAGGAGGCCAACCAATGAGTCTCAAAGTAGTCGCAGAGTTTGCTCTTATTCACAACAGCTGAGACAATACAGCCGCCGCCACCCCACTCTCAGAATAAATTTCCCCAGTGGTGGTAAAGAAACACTTCTACTCAAGAGTATATGCGTTGCTTTTGAAGGAATCACTCAGATGTGTTTTTGTTTTTACATCTCTACTTCGGGAAAAATTTAATCTACGAATCTTTAAATATTCAGTTATGTATCGTAACTTTAACAAACGCTTGTTGTAGTCCCTAGCATCCCTGCTTAGAGAAAAATGTATTGTAAAAGTCTCCAAGAATCCATCATATTATCGTTATCTAAGGTAGGCACTCAGGTAATTTCTAAGAAAGAAAAACAATTGACGACCTTTGTGTTGGTGCTGAAGGATGCCAAGTGTACTGTACGTGATTTAATAGTCTTAACGTATGAATCTCCGAGATCCATCTTCGTCATTGTTTAAGAAAGGTGCAGTTAAATACGTCCTCGAGTACAGTAAGGGCGTGAAAGTAGAATATATTAATATCTTTACATTTACATCCGGATTCTTTAATAGTACATTAAGTTCCTCGCTAACTGGAAGTGTCTTAGGGATCAACTGAAGAATAGCGCCCCAGCATATTTCACCTGATGATTAAATACCATAACCCTACCTGTGGGGATAGTTTCGGTTAGGTTAAGTTAGATTAGCGTTAGGGTGGTTAATCTTAAAGTGAAATGAGCTGATGGACTTAATCTCCATTTTTTTCCACTTCAACTATGGCACAAAGATAACGGTCAAACTCGACCCCAAAAAACGCATCGGAACTCTGCGTCCTTCGACAAAATTTTCTTTTTTGATGAATAAATGAGTGAATAAATAAATGATTAATAAATCTTTCTAGAGAAGGTGGACGCTGGGCTACTCACTTGAGCCAGCAGCTGCCTCCTGTACGTCAGTTCCTGGGGACACTCAACTCCACAGTGTTTAGTCGCTGCTCTGCTAATACTACTGAGTACTGACCGCTCCACCACTCCCCATGCCCGCCCGCCCGCCCTCCCTCCCTCTTACTAGCCACAGTAGCCAGTTCCGTTCTCTATCCATCATCCGCACCTCCAGTGTGTACTCTCTCTCTCTCCCTCTCTCTCTCTCTATCTTTTAAAATACTTATTATAATAATAAGAACATCTGTGGAAAAACTAAACGAAATCGAACAACTCCTTCTGGTGGCATTGCTGTTCTCAGACATTACCGAACATAATCTATAAAGAGGTGTGCCAAGTTACACGCATTTATGACAAAATACACAATTCATCGATATTTTTGCACATATCGCCTGGACTATAATATATAGATAAATAAATTGAAAGTCACCAATTTTTACTAAATTCATCCCTATAATACACGCTAAATTACGTTTTCTTTAGAACACTAGAGAAAGTGTAATTCTTGGGCAACTTTTATATTCCGTATTCATAGACTGTGATGCAGCCTAAACCAGTTGTACTTTTGTTCATATTATTGATACGCTTAGTTACATTTTAATATATGTTTTGTATTAGCGAAGTCACATATAATTATCATGAATATGTAACCCACATGAAGAGGAACATGTGGTGCAATGGCAGCATGCTGCTTGCCTTTCATCAATTGTGACCCTGGTTCGATTTCCACCTGGCTGGGTTCTCAGAAGGGTGTTATCCAGTATGACCCTACCCAATATTACAGGTTATCTTCAGGTACTCCAATTTCTTCCCATATTCAGGGCCAGTGCTATCCACTAGGTAAACTTAGCGATCTCCCAGGGCGCCAATATCTAGAAGCGCCACAAATTCTTTATTTTTACTTTTACCTTTATCATTTTCTGCACAAAGTTAGATAAAATTACCTGAGCTAATTAAAAAATACAAAACTTAATAATGAAGGGAGGAATGGTTATGATTGACGACAGTAATGTTAAAAATTACCTCTGTTGAAGAAGTGTGCATTTCGCTCTCACAGCCACACCCGACGCCTTGGGGTGGGGTGGAAGGCAAGAACAGGATGAGGAAAGGTTTAGGTCAACCCTCGCGAGCAAATTGTAAAAAATAAATAAAATAAAACGCGGGACAGCAGGAGATGGAGGACGGGGGGTGGGGGAGGGTTGGTAGAAGAGGTATGGACGGGGAGGGGGGCGAGTGGTGTTAGGGCGCGGCGTTGTCACAAAAAAACACAAGCCAATTATTTAACAAATGTAATGATTTTAAGAAACGTAGAATCGTAGAAACAGTTTGTATATTCCTAATTTTGATTAAATTTTCAAACTACAATAGGTTAAGGTTATAATAATCCATATTATTACTCCACTTTGTTAATATTACAAGATATGTAGCAGTAGGTGTCGGGAGTACACCTGTAGCGCCAATCATTCCATACAGGTGAAAGACAACACCTGCCTACCTGTACATAAGAACATAAGAATGGTGGAAACTGCAGCGGAACTATTGGTCCATACTGGGCAGTCCCGTTTACACCCAACCCCTATCGCTCATATGTCCATCCATCCAGCGTATTCGAGTTAATGATGATGTTTGGTAACTTGTTCCACTCATCCACTACTCTGTTTCCAAACCAGTGTTTACCTATTTCACGCCCGGGATTAGTCTTGTCATCCTCCTCTGAATTCTTTCGAGGCATTCTATATCCTTTCTATAGTACGGTGACCAGAGCTGAACCGCGTAATGCAAGTGAAGTGTCTGACGTCGACAAAAAAAAACGTAAAATTACACCATGAGGCTTCAACAAAGTTACTTTCATTGATAACAAAATAAGCACTTTATGTTTAAAATGGCGGGGGGACCGGGAGGCGGAGGCCCCCGACTAGGAAGTTAGGTGAGGTTAGGTAGGGTACTTTGGTTGGACAGGTCAGGTCCTATCGAGTTTATTATTATTCATTTATGACGGAAGTGTATAGAATGACAGTTACTCAGAATGAAGAGATATATCTATTATATGTGTTAAAAACCTTAAAATCGCTGAAAGTCCACTTGTAAAAAATTACCAATTTTATCTATAAATATTGAAATGCGTTTTGGCTACCTCGTGACAAACACCGAAAAAACACAAAACCAAGACGAGAATCAATTTTTTCTTCCTGTATTTTCGCTCATTTTCAAAGCCCTGCCCACTTTCGAAGGATGTTGTAGTGGACGTCTCCCCTACAACTGCGTAGCTGCATGCCACCTGCTACGTCTTCCCTAGCAACCAAACGAGCGGCCCAGGGGGGGGAGGGGCGTCACCAGATGCCACAGTACCCTAGCAACAGAGCCAAAAGACCGGCTACTTCCCGGGTTTTCCCACCATGACTCACGGCTGCTGTGTATATAAGCTCTGTCTCTCCATTGAGATTCATTCTGCTCTGGGTTCCTGAACACGCAACACCTCCAAGCAAGCTCCTCGCTGTCCAGTTCTCATTCAACCCGGAGGCCAGCAACAGGCAACATCTTCTCTAACGAAGCTCCTGCACACTACCTCCTTCAACACGCTACCCACCGAACGTGCCTACTGAGCAGCTCCTCACCACACGGCACCTCCTGCACCAGACTGTCTATCATATAACTTATATTATACAAGAAAACCACCTTAGAGTTTCCATCCATCCTGAGTGCTAGACAACATTATATCACGAAACCCTACAACGTACAGTCGTTATTAGTGTAAACGGATAATTCACTAAGTATTATCCGCAAAAATACGTCATGTTCGTTAAAATCACCAAAAAACTGAAGTAAACATTAATTTAGTAAAGAAAAACCCCTACTTGGGCATAAAACGATTCTTTACCCATTCCCCTGCCTAACCTTACCTTCATTATCAGATGGAGGAGGATAAAGTGATGCCACTTGTATGAGGAAGTGGTGCAGCATGGTGTTGTCGTTGTAATGAGCTTGGATCTACCGCACAAATACTTTTGGTAATGTTCCTTGTTTCTGTCATGAAGCACCCAACTTTTGATATCCCTTAATATGTTCTATATTTTGTGTATGCACGCCAGTAGTAGGATCCAGAAGGTTTACAGTTCTGTGGATATAATCAATTGCACCGAGGGTACTGTATGCCCTCCATATATCAATATGAATAACACTACCGACTTTTACAAAACACTTAGTGAACGGTATGAGGGTATTAGCACCGCGGTCAGTCGCTGGTATAATAAATGTACGTGTGGATAGTTTCTATGACTCACAACCTTGACACTTTAGATTTTCCAAACTTACTTTCGTCCACATACCTCAGAACAAAAGCTTCTTCCAATTCACGAATTTCCAATGACATTTCCAATTTTTCTGTTGTGTAGCGCTGAGTAAAGTGTTCAGCTGATGAACGTATTACAGACAAACAAGTTTTTCCACCCGACATGTGTAATTTTGTCCAATAGCAAAACACCAGAAAATTTCAACAGAAACGGCTTCATTTTCAAACACGTTGAATGGTACTCCTATCTGCCCGGAAGCTACCTTCACAGAGAGAACCATCTTGCCACTGGGCAAATCAAAATACAGTCTCAAATTCCACAGCAATCAAAGCTTACGCATGCGCACAACTATTACGTAACATCGAAACCAAAGACTATAATAAGAAAGACAGGAAAGCATCTACCTTTACTGATAAAAAATACGTGAGCCACTGAGCTCCGATCAACGCCATCTGTTGGCAACGCGACTAACTAAAAGCACGGTGCGCGTGAAGGTAGTTTGCCCATGTTTCTTTGGTAAGCATGGAGTGAGCTTGTGTTTAACGTTTTCATGTTAGGTTAGGTTAGGTTTCAAAAAAGTTTGTGTCATTAAATAATATGAAATTTTGCTATAGGGGGGGCTTACCTCACCTCAACCCAAAGCTGCCGTAATCAACCTTTCTCACAACAGAACCAAAAGATATCCCGACATAAACGGATTATGAGTCCATAATATATATACTGTATTCTTTCTTATTGCGGTTTTTAATATACCTTGAAATCACTATACAATAATTGGTCTGTCATAGTATATACTGTACAATGGTTGGAACACTCACAGCACTTCATAAAAGCGTTACCAGGTAGTTGCAGTGAGGGTCAGCTCACCAGGGAATAATATATTTTACTGGTCGTGAATGTCGTCTTTTGACGTAAATAGACGATTCCTCCTTGACTGTAAAACTCAGTTCGAGATATGACTATGAATACACGCCACTCCTTCCTTAGTACAGTAAGTGTGATAAATCAGAGGTTCGCCTCATTAGTCACTCGCCACCAAGAAAGACACTGAAAATATCTTTCTTCGTCGACTAACACTTTCCCAAACTCCGAGACCAACGTCAACAGCAGACCCTCGCATGTTTGATGGGATACAGTCTTGTCATATAAACTTACTTGGGTGATGTACAAGACACTACTGTAGCAACTGATGTTTACGGTATTGGTGAAGCATTACATGTTTGTTGATTGTTTGGCCACGAGGACCTATATTGAAGTAAGGGGGGAAGCCTACCATTTATAAAGGTTTGTGCACTCTATAGAGGGGCGTTCTGTGTGTGTGTTGGTTGTATCCGTGTATAATGTATTGTGTGGTGTAGGTAGTGTGTCTAAATACTTGTGTATTTTAATCTGAGCAGGTAGAACAAATGTGTGTTATGCTATGGTGGCCCATGATGGCGTGAGGACACACACGCACACCGAGGTGTTTTGTAATTACGTACATGATTGTCCCTCTATATAAACTACTCCAAATTTCCTAAGAATAGGTTAAATATATCGCTACACCACTGATCTATTAAGCGCCACTAAGAACTTTTTACCACCACCACCCCTAACAAAACACTGGTGGAGGTTAATAACTTATATGGCTGCACGAATATTTACGTCCACATTGTTGAAATATATGTACCGTGCTCCACGTTGCCCCGGTGATGGGCAATAGTTACTGCAATGTTCCGTGGTGTCCCTAAGCCTACGACCCCTGTACCTACGACCACTGCACCTACGACCCCTACACCTACTACCCCTGCACCTACGACCCTTGCACCTACACCTACGACCACTGCACCTACGACCCCTACACCTACGATCCCCACCTACGATCCCTGCACCTACTACCCCTGCACCTACGACCCCTGCACCTACGACCCCTGTACCTACGACCCCTACTTATCCATGCACCTACCTACCTGCACCTACTACCCCACCTACCCCCTGCACCTACTACCCCTACACCTACGACCCCTGCACCTACCCCTGCACCTACCCCTGTACCTACGACCCCTACACCTACGACCCCTACACCTACTACCCCTTGCACCTACGACCCCAGCACCTACGACCCCTACACCTACTACCCCTTCACCTACGACCCCTGCACCTGCGACCCCTGCACCTACGACCCCTGCACCTACGACTCCTACACCAACACCCTGTGCCTACGACCCCTGCACCTATGACTCCTGCACCTACAACCCCTGTACTTACGACCCCTGACAGGACAGACACAGCAGGGCCAAAGTCTTGATAGATAGACAGTCACTACCTTGGCAATATTCCTAGTCGAAATTAACATTAATTTCCTGCCATGGACTACCTCACCAATACGGTCTTTTGTATTAGGTGTGACAATTCTCCGGTAATGTTTGTGTCAAGACTTTATGATAGAGTGGCGCCTCGGGTAAAGCTTATTTGTCTTTTCTATCTATATTTCACTATCTTATTATTATTATTATCATTACAAACCATAACTTCCCTGAATCGCTTACCGCTCAAGTCTCCACCATGATCAGCAATGAATCGTAAACACACGCTAGAGCAGTATTAAGAGTATATCATTATTTCCCCCAAGAATCTGAGGTCGGTTAGTAATACAAACAAGAAAAAGGAAGCAACACAAAGAAAGCGGATTAAAGCAGTCTGATTAATATAAAAGCCTCCAACAAGGTGTGGTTTAGGGGGCTGGCGTGAGTGAGGGAAATTTACTTAATCGACGGTGGAAGAAAATGTTGTGCATGGTGAATCATCAAGGTTAGTATCCCGTGTTAGTGTCGCTTTTCCGGTACTGTGTGACCTGGTTAGTATGGCTTTTCCGGTACTGTGTGACCTGGTTAGTATGGCTTTTCCGGTACTGTGTGACCTGGTTAGTATGGCTTTTCCGGTACTGTGTGACCTGGTTAGTATGGCTTTTCCGGTACTGTGTGACCTGGTTAGTATGGCTTTTCCGGTACTGTGTGACCTGGTTAGTATGGCTTTTCCGGTACTGTGTGACCTGGTTAGTATGGCTTTTCCGGTACTGTGTGACCTGGTTAGTATGGCTTTCCCTGAACCGTATTACCTGGTGTGTGTTTTTTTCTAGTGCACCTGTACTGAATGACGTCAGAACTATTATTACTCGGTATAATAAAACACCACATACACCAAACTATCAGGTCAATCGTCTACGTTTTTACTCACAATCATGTTTCACCTTTAATTGGTAACGTTACGGAGTGCAATGATCCATCACTTGTTCTGGTTTATTGATCCTTATTCTTGTCTTATCTATAATATTTTGTTTTTCTTGATCAACATTTCAGACTCCATCATTAAGTTGAGGTACAATTCCTGTGTTGTGTTAAATCAGTAATTAGCTAATAAGCCCTATAACCGCTATCCGGGCGGTTAAAGGATTTAATTAGACTCGTCACGTTAAACTCGAACATTATAATTCGGTCAAACCTGTTGAATACAATTCATTTTAGTATTTCCAATAAATCATACATAGGCAATCACATAAATGTCAAATCTAATATATATTTACATAACAATCATAGCTATGTAATTAGTCTAATCTTAACACTTACAATGAGGACTTAATCTGCCATATTTTTATGTCGTCACAATGATAAACGATGCAATGGACACAGTCTACCTGTGTACACAATAAATACAATTTAAACTTACGTGTTGAAAGTCTTCAGGAGAAACAGGTTAGGTGTTGGTGGTGTAATGGGGATAGCTACAGTGAGACTGGCGGTGCCCTGCTGGGCATTGCGTGATCAGGCCCACTATTCAAACTCGCTGCGTCAGGCGTATTATACGCAAACTAGTTCCCCTTACACCACCCAACACCTCAACCTACTCTGGGTCTCTCATCTCCCTCCATCTCAACACTATATACTGTATACGGACAGGCACACCCAATAAACATGACATGAGTTACAGCCTAACATAACGTTTGTTTATGTGTCATCATAATTCAGTACCACTTGCGGTAACAAGCCCTAATATACGATGTGTGTTTGTGTGTGTGTGTGTGTGTTAGTTGAGTGTACAGACACATATCACCCCAAAAACAATTCTGAGACAACAAAAAGGTTAGTTCTGGGATTCAACCACAAAACCCACCTACCTCTCTCTCTCTCTCTCTCTCTCTCTCTCTCTCTTTGTGTGTTAACCCTCAGTTAGAGAAACCAGGAGGATAAGGCTTTACACTAAACTAAAAAAAAAACTCACAACAAACCTTAATGTCACATAAACAGTACAGAATGTCTCAAAAATATATATAAATACACACACCCTGGCAGACTTAAATAACGATGCTGTTATAATACAAACCTTCACCCAATACTAGTGAGTATATACATTTTCTGAGACACCCTGTTATAAAGGTTGAGTTCAAAGCTGAAGAACCTACATCAACCTGAGAATCAAACAACAATATTCTCGAGCGATACATTAATACACCTGCCAGAGCTAATATATATACACCCATCCACACACTACATCACGTATTCATTTGTGTATTAGTAGTTCTATGTTCTTCAGATAAGTCATCAGTCAAAGTAACAGGTAATATATATTTATAATGGTTCTCAGTACGTAAAATTCTATCATTATCATCCAATTTTCGTGATCATTATAGTGAAGTATAATGCTTTCTTATTGATCTTGGTAGTGAAGTTTAATTCTTGATTTAATTACACTCTCGTTGCCGTGAGTGTCAAGTCGCTGTTTTGTGTTTATCCTTTAACAATTTTATTTTGTTCCACTTTTTTTCGTATTTTTTTTAATATTTTGATCTCTGTTTTTTTATGTATTATATATTGGGACTTGCAATTCAGAAGAAGAACAACAACAACAACAAAAGTAACAATGATAATAATATTAAAAACAACAATAAGAAGTAATAATAATAATAATAATAATAATAATAATAATAAAAAGAAAAATAACAATAACAAACAACAGCAATTAAAACTAATAACACCATTAACCTCATTATTCAGAACAAAAACTCTTAATTACTGCAGCAACATGTAAACAAAGAAACAAAGACCCGGTAAATAATTCATAATATTAACGCCAAGTGAACAAAAAACAAAGATATATTTCACTGCAGTTGTTGACATACTATGATATATATTTTCACGCTCTTAACTCCAAACGCATTTAATTACATATTCTTAACTAGGTCATTATACTGGACGAGATTTGTTACACTCGGGTCGTTAATTGTGTCGCTAGTGATGTTTGTGATTGATAATATAACCTTCATATACTTGGGTAGACGAGACACCAGGTGGAACAGTAATACCAAATCAACACAATAATGTACGGTGATATTTGTCGCCTGAAAGGTTAACAATACCTACAATAAATTTATCTGAGGGAAAAGAAATACTTGTAACAGCCTGTACTTGAGGGTTGGAGGGACCTGTAGGGTATAGGATAGGTAGAGACTTGAGATGGGTGAATGAAATCAAAACTTGTGGTCCCCGGAGAGACACAAAATATGAGCTGATTGGTTTAGACAGCCCCTTAATTGTTTGTGGTGGAAGGCCGTGGTCGCCAACCCTCAGACATAAGAGTGACGCCTATTGATGTACTCATATTACGTTAGTCATTTACACTACCTACAAATATTTAAGGCTGGTCACATAATAACACAGTTTCCAGTATTTATGGAGACCTGAAACTCGTTAATATGAATGTTGCAAGTTTTACTGAAGCCAAAGTTACTAAACACAATTTTCAGTGTTTTGTTAATGAATATTTTAGTTTCCTTATAATGACCAGTACTTCAGGCTTGGTGGGGTACCTGGTCTGGGTGTCTCAGGAGATCGAATGACGCTCTTAACACTTTTTTTTACAACAATTTTAAGTTTGGCGACCAACATTTACTGACAGAACTTTAAGATTTATCACTGGAAAAACCGACACTGTTGAAGAGGCAGAGAGGGTATAATATCACTAAAACCTTCGGTATAGCAAGAGACAGTGCGGCCAGCTCTTCATCTGGGTAGCTGTAAGGTGCAGCAACGACCCTCAGGACAGGAGGCCAACCAATGAGTCTCAAAGTAGTCGCAGAGTTTGCTCTTATTCACAACAGCTGAGACAATACAGCCGCCGCCACCCCACTCTCAGAATAAATTTCCCCAGTGGTGGTAAAGAAACACTTCTACTCAAGAGTATATGACGTTGCTTTTGAAGGAATCACTCAGATGTGTTTTTGTTTTTACATCTCTACTTCGGGAAAAATTTAATCTACGAATCTTTAAATATTCAGTTATGTATCGTAACTTTAACAAACGCTTGTTGTAGTCCCTAGCATCCCTGCTTAGAGAAAAATGTATTGTAAAAGTCTCCAAGAATCCATCATATTATCGTTATCTAAGGTAGGCACTCAGGTAATTTCTAAGAAAGAAAAACAATTGACGACCTTTGTGTTGGTGCTGAAGGATGCCAAGTGTACTGTACGTGATTTAATAGTCTTAACGTATGAATCTCCGAGATCCATCTTCGTCATTGTTTAAGAAAGGTGCAGTTAAATACGTCCTCGAGTACAGTAAGGGCGTGAAAGTAGAATATATTAATATCTTTACATTTACATCCGGATTCTTTAATAGTACATTAAGTTCCTCGCTAACTGGAAGTGTCTTAGGGATCAACTGAAGAATAGCGCCCCAGCATATTTCACCTGATGATTAAATACCATAACCCTACCTGTGGGGATAGTTTCGGTTAGGTTAAGTTAGATTAGCGTTAGGGTGGTTAATCTTAAAGTGAAATGAGCTGATGGACTTAATCTCCATTTTTTTCCACTTCAACTATGGCACAAAGATAACGGTCAAACTCGACCCCAAAAAACGCATCGGAACTCTGCGTCCTTCGACAAAATTTTCTTTTTTGATGAATAAATGAGTGAATAAATAAATGATTAATAAATCTTTCTAGAGAAGGTGGACGCTGGGCTACTCACTTGAGCCAGCAGCTGCCTCCTGTACGTCAGTTCCTGGGGACACTCAACTCCACAGTGTTTAGTCGCTGCTCTGCTAATACTACTGAGTACTGACCGCTCCACCACTCCCCATGCCCGCCCGCCCGCCCTCCCTCCCTCTTACTAGCCACAGTAGCCAGTTCCGTTCTCTATCCATCATCCGCACCTCCAGTGTGTACTCTCTCTCTCTCCCTCTCTCTCTCTCTATCTTTTAAAATACTTATTATAATAATAAGAACATCTGTGGAAAAACTAAACGAAATCGAACAACTCCTTCTGGTGGCATTGCTGTTCTCAGACATTACCGAACATAATCTATAAAGAGGTGTGCCAAGTTACACGCATTTATGACAAAATACACAATTCATCGATATTTTTGCACATATCGCCTGGACTATAATATATAGATAAATAAATTGAAAGTCACCAATTTTTACTAAATTCATCCCTATAATACACGCTAAATTACGTTTTCTTTAGAACACTAGAGAAAGTGTAATTCTTGGGCAACTTTTATATTCCGTATTCATAGACTGTGATGCAGCCTAAACCAGTTGTACTTTTGTTCATATTATTGATACGCTTAGTTACATTTTAATATATGTTTTGTATTAGCGAAGTCACATATAATTATCATGAATATGTAACCCACATGAAGAGGAACATGTGGTGCAATGGCAGCATGCTGCTTGCCTTTCATCAATTGTGACCCTGGTTCGATTTCCACCTGGCTGGGTTCTCAGAAGGGTGTTATCCAGTATGACCCTACCCAATATTACAGGTTATCTTCAGGTACTCCAATTTCTTCCCATATTCAGGGCCAGTGCTATCCACTAGGTAAACTTAGCGATCTCCCAGGGCGCCAATATCTAGAAGCGCCACAAATTCTTTATTTTTACTTTTACCTTTATCATTTTCTGCACAAAGTTAGATAAAATTACCTGAGCTAATTAAAAAATACAAAACTTAATAATGAAGGGAGGAATGGTTATGATTGACGACAGTAATGTTAAAAATTACCTCTGTTGAAGAAGTGTGCATTTCGCTCTCACAGCCACACCCGACGCCTTGGGGTGGGGTGGAAGGCAAGAACAGGATGAGGAAAGGTTTAGGTCAACCCTCGCGAGCAAATTGTAAAAAATAAATAAAATAAAACGCGGGACAGCAGGAGATGGAGGACGGGGGGTGGGGGAGGGTTGGTAGAAGAGGTATGGACGGGGAGGGGGGCGAGTGGTGTTAGGGCGCGGCGTTGTCACAAAAAAACACAAGCCAATTATTTAACAAATGTAATGATTTTAAGAAACGTAGAATCGTAGAAACAGTTTGTATATTCCTAATTTTGATTAAATTTTCAAACTACAATAGGTTAAGGTTATAATAATCCATATTATTACTCCACTTTGTTAATATTACAAGATATGTAGCAGTAGGTGTCGGGAGTACACCTGTAGCGCCAATCATTCCATACAGGTGAAAGACAACACCTGCCTACCTGTACATAAGAACATAAGAATGGTGGAAACTGCAGCGGAACTATTGGTCCATACTGGGCAGTCCCGTTTACACCCAACCCCTATCGCTCATATGTCCATCCATCCAGCGTATTCGAGTTAATGATGATGTTTGGTAACTTGTTCCACTCATCCACTACTCTGTTTCCAAACCAGTGTTTACCTATTTCACGCCCGGGATTAGTCTTGTCATCCTCCTCTGAATTCTTTCGAGGCATTCTATATCCTTTCTATAGTACGGTGACCAGAGCTGAACCGCGTAATGCAAGTGAAGTGTCTGACGTCGACAAAAAAAAACGTAAAATTACACCATGAGGCTTCAACAAAGTTACTTTCATTGATAACAAAATAAGCACTTTATGTTTAAAATGGCGGGGGGACCGGGAGGCGGAGGCCCCCGACTAGGAAGTTAGGTGAGGTTAGGTAGGGTACTTTGGTTGGACAGGTCAGGTCCTATCGAGTTTATTATTATTCATTTATGACGGAAGTGTATAGAATGACAGTTACTCAGAATGAAGAGATATATCTATTATATGTGTTAAAAACCTTAAAATCGCTGAAAGTCCACTTGTAAAAAATTACCAATTTTATCTATAAATATTGAAATGCGTTTTGGCTACCTCGTGACAAACACCGAAAAAACACAAAACCAAGACGAGAATCAATTTTTTCTTCCTGTATTTTCGCTCATTTTCAAAGCCCTGCCCACTTTCGAAGGATGTTGTAGTGGACGTCTCCCCTACAACTGCGTAGCTGCATGCCACCTGCTACGTCTTCCCTAGCAACCAAACGAGCGGCCCAGGGGGGGGAGGGGCGTCACCAGATGCCACAGTACCCTAGCAACAGAGCCAAAAGACCGGCTACTTCCCGGGTTTTCCCACCATGACTCACGGCTGCTGTGTATATAAGCTCTGTCTCTCCATTGAGATTCATTCTGCTCTGGGTTCCTGAACACGCAACACCTCCAAGCAAGCTCCTCGCTGTCCAGTTCTCATTCAACCCGGAGGCCAGCAACAGGCAACATCTTCTCTAACGAAGCTCCTGCACACTACCTCCTTCAACACGCTACCCACCGAACGTGCCTACTGAGCAGCTCCTCACCACACGGCACCTCCAGCACCAGACTGTCTATCATATAACTTATATTATACAAGAAAACCACCTTAGAGTTTCCATCCATCCTGAGTGCTAGACAACATTATATCACGAAACCCTACAATGTACAGTCGTTATTAGTGTAAACGGATAATTCACTAAGTATTATCCGCAAAAATACGTCATGTTCGTTAAAATCACCAAAAAACTGAAGTAAACATTAATTTAGTAAAGAAAAATCCCTACTTGGGCATAAAACGATTCTTTACCCATTCCCCTGCCTAACCTTACCTTCATTATCAGATGGAGGAGGATAAAGTGATGCCACTTGTATGAGGAAGTGGTGCAGCATGGTGTTGTCGTTGTAATGAGCTTGGATCTACCGCACAAATACTTTTGGTAATGTTCCTTGTTTCTGTCATGAAGCACCCAACTTTTGATATCCCTTAATATGTTCTATATTTTGCGTATGCACGCCAGTAGTAGGATTCAAAAGGTTTACAGTTCTGTGGATATAATCAATTGCACCGAGGGTACTGTATGCCCTCCATATATCAATATGAATAACACTACCGACTTTTACAAAACACTTAGTGAACGGTATGAGGGTATTAGCACCGCGGTCAGTCGCTGGTATAATAAATGTACGTGTGGATAGTTTCTATGACTCACAACCTTGACACTTTAGATTTTCCAAACTTACTTTCGTCCACATACCTCAGAACAAAAGCTTCTTCCAATTCACGAATTTCCAATGACATTTCCAATTTTTCTGTTGTGTAGCGCTGAGTAAAGTGTTCAGCTGATGAACGTATTACAGACAAACAAGTTTTTCCACCCGACATGTGTAATTTTGTCCAATAGCAAAACACCAGAAAATTTCAACAGAAACGGCTTCATTTTCAAACACGTTGAATGGTACTCCTATCTGCCCGGAAGCTACCTTCACAGAGAGAACCATCTTGCCACTGGGCAAATCAAAATACAGTCTCAAATTCCACAGCAATCAAAGCTTACGCATGCGCACAACTATTACGTAACATCGAAACCAAAGACTATAATAAGAAAGACAGGAAAGCATCTACCTTTACTGATAAAAAATACGTGAGCCACTGAGCTCCGATCAACGCCATCTGTTGGCAACGCGACTAACTAAAAGCACGGTGCGCGTGAAGGTAGTTTGCCCATGTTTCTTTGGTAAGCATGGAGTGAGCTTGTGTTTAACGTTTTCATGTTAGGTTAGGTTAGGTTTCAAAAAAGTTTGTGTCATTAAATAATATGAAATTTTGCTATAGGGGGGGCTTACCTCACCTCAACCCAAAGCTGCCGTAATCAACCTTTCTCACAACAGAACCAAAAGATATCCCGACATAAACGGATTATGAGTCCATAATATATATACTGTATTCTTTCTTATTGCGGTTTTTAATATACCTTGAAATCACTATACAATAATTGGTCTGTCATAGTATATACTGTACAATGGTTGGAACACTCACAGCACTTCATAAAAGCGTTACCAGGTAGTTGCAGTGAGGGTCAGCTCACCAGGGAATAATATATTTTACTGGTCGTGAATGTCGTCTTTTGACGTAAATAGACGATTCCTCCTTGACTGTAAAACTCAGTTCGAGATATGACTATGAATACACGCCACTCCTTCCTTAGTACAGTAAGTGTGATAAATCAGAGGTTCGCCTCATTAGTCACTCGCCACCAAGAAAGACACTGAAAATATCTTTCTTCGTCGACTAACACTTTCCCAAACTCCGAGACCAACGTCAACAGCAGACCCTCGCATGTTTGATGGGATACAGTCTTGTCATATAAACTTACTTGGGTGATGTACAAGACACTACTGTAGCAACTGATGTTTACGGTATTGGTGAAGCATTACATGTTTGTTGATTGTTTGGCCACGAGGACCTATATTGAAGTAAGGGGGGAAGCCTACCATTTATAAAGGTTTGTGCACTCTATAGAGGGGCGTTCTGTGTGTGTGTTGGTTGTATCCGTGTATAATGTATTGTGTGGTGTAGGTAGTGTGTCTAAATACTTGTGTATTTTAATCTGAGCAGGTAGAACAAATGTGTGTTATGCTATGGTGGCCCATGATGGCGTGAGGACACACACGCACACCGAGGTGTTTTGTAATTACGTACATGATTGTCCCTCTATATAAACTACTCCAAATTTCCTAAGAATAGGTTAAATATATCGCTACACCACTGATCTATTAAGCGCCACTAAGAACTTTTTACCACCACCAACCCTAATAAAACACTGGTGGAGGTTAATAACTTATATGGCTGCACGAATATTTACGTCCACATTGTTGAAATATATGTACAGTGCTCCACGTTGCCCCGGTGATGGGCAATAGTTACTGCAATGTTCCGTGGTGTCCCTAAGCCTATGACCCCGACACCTACGACCCCTGTACGTACGACCCCGACACCTACGACCCCTGTACCTACGACCACTGCACCTACGACCCCTACACCTACGATCCCTGCACCTACGATCCCTGCACCTACTACCCCTGCACCTACGACCCCTGCACCTACGACCCCTGTACCTACGACCCCTACACCTACTATCCATGCACCTACTACCCATGCACCTACTACCCCTACACCTACGACCCCTGCACCTACTATCTACACCTACGACCCCTGCACCTACTACCCTACCTACGACCCCTGTACCTGTACCTACGACCCCTACACCTACTACCCCTGCACCTACGACCCTTGCACCTACGACCCCAGCACCTACGACCCCTACACCTACTACCCCTTCACCTACGACCCCTGCACCTGCGACCCCTGCACCTACGACCCCTGCACCTACGACTCCTACACCAACACCCTGTGCCTACGACCCCTGCACCTATGACTCCTGCACCTACAACCCCTGTACTTACGACCCCTGACAGGACAGACACAGCAGGGCCAAAGTCTTGATAGATAGACAGTCACTACCTTGGCAATATTCCTAGTCGAAATTAACATTAATTTCCTGCCATGGACTACCTCACCAATACGGTCTTTTGTATTAGGTGTGACAATTCTCCGGTAATGTTTGTGTCAAGACTTTATGATAGAGTGGCGCCTCGGGTAAAGCTTATTTGTCTTTTCTATCTATATTTCACTATCTTATTATTATTATTATCATTACAAACCATAACTTCCCTGAATCGCTTACCGCTCAAGTCTCCACCATGATCAGCAATGAATCGTAAACACACGCTAGAGCAGTATTAAGAGTATATCATTATTTCCCCCAAGAATCTGAGGTCGGTTAGTAATACAAACAAGAAAAAGGAAGCAACACAAAGAAAGCGGATTAAAGCAGTCTGATTAATATAAAAGCCTCCAACAAGGTGTGGTTTAGGGGGCTGGCGTGAGTGAGGGAAATTTACTTAATCGACGGTGGAAGAAAATGTTGTGCATGGTGAATCATCAAGGTTAGTATCCCGTGTTAGTGTCGCTTTTCCGGTACTGTGTGACCTGGTTAGTATGGCTTTTCCGGTACTGTGTGACCTGGTTAGTATGGCTTTTCCGGTACTGTGTGACCTGGTTAGTATGGCTTTTCCGGTACTGTGTGACCTGGTTAGTATGGCTTTTCCGGTACTGTGTGACCTGGTTAGTATGGCTTTTCCGGTACTGTGTGACCTGGTTAGTATGGCTTTTCCGGTACTGTGTGACCTGGTTAGTATGGCTTTTCCGGTACTGTGTGACCTGGTTAGTATGGCTTTCCCTGAACCGTATTACCTGGTGTGTGTTTTTTTCTAGTGCACCTGTACTGAATGACGTCAGAACTATTATTACTCGGTATAATAAAACACCACATACACCAAACTATCAGGTCAATCGTCTACGTTTTTACTCACAATCATGTTTCACCTTTAATTGGTAACGTTACGGAGTGCAATGATCCATCACTTGTTCTGGTTTATTGATCCTTATTCTTGTCTTATCTATAATATTTTGTTTTTCTTGATCAACATTTCAGACTCCATCATTAAGTTGAGGTACAATTCCTGTGTTGTGTTAAATCAGTAATTAGCTAATAAGCCCTATAACCGCTATCCGGGCGGTTAAAGGATTTAATTAGACTCGTCACGTTAAACTCGAACATTATAATTCGGTCAAACCTGTTGAATACAATTCATTTTAGTATTTCCAATAAATCATACATAGGCAATCACATAAATGTCAAATCTAATATATATTTACATAACAATCATAGCTATGTAATTAGTCTAATCTTAACACTTACAATGAGGACTTAATCTGCCATATTTTTATGTCGTCACAATGATAAACGATGCAATGGACACAGTCTACCTGTGTACACAATAAATACAATTTAAACTTACGTGTTGAAAGTCTTCAGGAGAAACAGGTTAGGTGTTGGTGGTGTAATGGGGATAGCTACAGTGAGACTGGCGGTGCCCTGCTGGGCATTGCGTGATCAGGCCCACTATTCAAACTCGCTGCGTCAGGCGTATTATACGCAAACTAGTTCCCCTTACACCACCCAACACCTCAACCTACTCTGGGTCTCTCATCTCCCTCCATCTCAACACTATATACTGTATACGGACAGGCACACCCAATAAACATGACATGAGTTACAGCCTAACATAACGTTTGTTTATGTGTCATCATAATTCAGTACCACTTGCGGTAACAAGCCCTAATATACGATGTGTGTTTGTGTGTGTGTGTGTGTGTTAGTTGAGTGTACAGACACATATCACCCCAAAAACAATTCTGAGACAACAAAAAGGTTAGTTCTGGGATTCAACCACAAAACCCACCTACCTCTCTCTCTCTCTCTCTCTCTCTCTCTCTCTCTCTCTCTTTGTGTGTTAACCCTCAGTTAGAGAAACCAGGAGGATAAGGCTTTACACTAAACTAAAAAAAAAACTCACAACAAACCTTAATGTCACATAAACAGTACAGAATGTCTCAAAAATATATATAAATACACACACCCTTGCAGACTTAAATAACGATGCTGTTATAATACAAACCTTCACCCAATACTAGTGAGTATATACATTTTCTGAGACACCCTGTTATAAAGGTTGAGTTCAAAGCTGAAGAACCTACATCAACCTGAGAATCAAACAACAATATTCTCGAGCGATACATTAATACACCTGCCAGAGCTAATATATATACACCCATCCACACACTACATCACGTATTCATTTGTGTATTAGTAGTTCTATGTTCTTCAGATAAGTCATCAGTCAAAGTAACAGGTAATATATATTTATAATGGTTCTCAGTACGTAAAATTCTATCATTATCATCCAATTTTCGTGATCATTATAGTGAAGTATAATGCTTTCTTATTGATCTTGGTAGTGAAGTTTAATTCTTGATTTAATTACACTCTCGTTGCCGTGAGTGTCAAGTCGCTGTTTTGTGTTTATCCTTTAACAATTTTATTTTGTTCCACTTTTTTTCGTATTTTTTTTAATATTTTGATCTCTGTTTTTTTATGTATTATATATTGGGACTTGCAATTCAGAAGAAGAACAACAACAACAACAAAAGTAACAATGATAATAATATTAAAAACAACAATAAGAAGTAATAATAATAATAATAATAATAATAACAATAATAATAATAATAATAATAAAAAGAAAAATAACAATAACAAACAACAGCAATTAAAACTAATAACACCATTAACCTCATTATTCAGAACAAAAACTCTTAATTATTGCAGCAACATGTAAACAAAGAAACAGAGACACGGTTAATAATTCATAATATTAACGCCAAGTGAACAAAAAACAAAGATATATTTCACTGCAGTTGTTGACATACTATGATATATATTTTCACGCTCTTAACTCCAAACGCATTTAATTACATACTCTTAACTAGGTCATTATACTGGACGAGATTTGTTACACTCGGGTCGTTAATTGTGTCGCTAGTGATGTTTGTGATTGATAATATAACCTTCATATACTTGGGTAGACGAGACACCAGGTGGAACAGTAATACCAAATCAACACAATAATGTACGGTGATATTTGTCGCCTGAAAGGTTAACAATACCTACAATAAATTTACCTGAGGGAAAAGAAATACTTGTAACAGCCTGTACTTGAGGGTTGGAGGGACCTGTAGGGTATAGGATAGGTAGAGACTTGAGATGGGTGAATGAAATCAAAACTTGTGGTCCCCGGAGAGACACAAAATATGAGCTGATTGGTTTAGACAGCCCCTTAATTGTTTGTGGTGGAAGGCCGTGGTCGCCAACCCTCAGACATAAGAGTGACGCCTATTGATGTACTCATATTACGTTATTCATTTACACTACCTACAAATATTTAAGGCTGGTCACATAATAACACAGTTTCCAGTATTTATGGAGACCTGAAACTCGTTAATATGAATGTTGTAAGTTTTACTGAAGCCAAAGTTACTAAACACAATTTTCAGTGTTTTGTTAATGAATATTTTAGTTTCCTTATAATGACCAGTACTTCAGGCTTGGTGGGGTACCTAGTCTGGGTGTCTCAGGAGATCGAATGACGCTCTTAACACTTTTTTTTACAACAATTTTAAGTTTGGCGACCAACATTTACTGACAGAACTTTAAGATTTATCACTGGAAAAACCGACACTGTTGAAGAGGCAGGGAGGGTATAATATCACTAAAACCTTCGGTATAGCAAGAGACAGTGCGGCCAGCTCTTCATCTGGGTAGCTGTAAGGTGCAGCAACGACCCTCAGGACAGGAGGCCAACCAATGAGTCTCAAAGTAGTCGCAGAGTTTGCTCTTATTCACAACAGCTGAGACAATACAGCCGCCGCCACCCCACTCTCAGAATAAATTTCCCCAGTGGTGGTAAAGAAACACTTCTACTCAAGAGTATATGACGTTGCTTTTGAAGGAATCACTCAGATGTGTTTTTGTTTTTACATCTCAAGTTCGGGAAAAATTTAATCTACGAATCTTTAAATATTCAGTTATGTATCGTAACTTTAACAAACGCTTGTTGTAGTCCCTAGCATCCCTGCTTAGAGAAAAATGTATAGTAAAAGTCTCCAAGAATCCATCATATTATCGTTATCTAAGGTAGGCACTCAGGTAATTTCTAAGAAAGAAAAACAATTGACGACCTTTGTGTTGGTGCTGAAGGATGCCAGGTGTACTGTACGTGATTTAATAGTCTTAACGTATGAATCTCCGAGAATCCATCTTCGTCATTGTTTAAGAAAGGTGCAGTTAAATACGTCCTCGAGTACAGTAAGGGCGTGAAAGTAGAATATATTAATATCTTTACATTTACATCCGGATTCTTTAATAGTACATTAAGTTCCTCGCTAACTGGAAGTGTCTTAGGGATCAACTGAAGAATAGCGCCCCAGCATATTTCACCTGATGATTAAATACCATAACCCTACCTGTGGGGATAGTTTCGGTTAGGTTAAGTTAGATTAGCGTTAGGGTGGTTAATCTTAAAGTGAAATGAGCTGATGGACTTAATCTCCATTTTTTTCCACTTCAGCTATGGCACCAAGATAACGGTCAAACTCGACCCCAAAAAACGCATCGGAACTCTATGTCCTTCGATACATTTTTTTGTTATGAGTAGATGATAGTTAATAAATATATGATTAATAAATCTTTCGAGAGAAGGTGGACGCTGGGCTACTCACTTGAGCCAGCGGCTGCCTCCTGTATGTCAGTTCCTGGGGACACTCAACTCCACAGTGTTTAGTCGCTGCTCTGCTTATACTAATGAATACTGACCGCTCCACCACTCCCCATGCCCGGACTGCCCTCCCTCCCTCTTACTAGCCACAGTAGCCAGTTCCGTTCTCTATCCATCATCCGCACCTCCAGTGTGTACT